TGCCCTTTGGAAGTAGAGATTGCTGATGATCAATTGGTGCGAGCATCGATGGTATTTCGGGACTGCGTATTGCGGTTGTTCGAGGAGCGCTACTTGGTGGATTTGGTTCCCATTCCGTTACGTGGGAACAAGGTGATCATAGGCATGGACTGGTTGAGCCCTAATGGGGCGGTGATAGATTGTGTGCAGCAGCTAGTGAGAGTCAGGACCCCGGGTGGGGGAGAGTTAGTGATTCATGGCGAGAAGCCACAGCGCGGACCCGTTGTATGTTCAGCAGCGAGGGCTAGACGTTACCTTCAGCAGGGATGTGCAGGATACGTTGCGTACGTAATGGATACCCGGGAGGCGGGTAATGCGGCCGTGAACGAGGTTCCGGTGGTGCGAGATTTCGCAGATGTTTTCCCAGAGGAGCTTCCTGGGATACCTCTCGAGCGACAGGTGGAGTTCAGGATTGACCTCATTCCTTGTGCGGCCCCGATAGCCAAGGCACCATATCGGTTGGCTCCTCCTGAGATGCAGGAGTTGTCTACGCAGCTGCAGGAGCTGCTAGACAAGGGATTCATTAGGCCAAGCAGTTCACCGCAGGGAGCCCCGATTCTGTTTGTGAAAAAGAAGGACGGGTCGCACCGGATGTGTATAGATTATCGGGAGTTGAATAAGGTAACGGTGAAGAACCGTTACCCACTCCCGAGGATTGATGACCTTTTTGACCAGCTTCAGGGAGCATCTTGGTTCTCCAAGATTGATTTGCGATCGGGTTATCATCAGATGAGGGTCAGGGAGGAGGATACGCAGAAGACCGCGTTTCGGACGCGCTATGGCCACTATGAGTTTGTGGTGATGCTGTTTGGGCTCACCAATGCTCCTGCCGGGTTCATGGACCTCATGAACCGCGTATGCAGACCGATGTTGGATCGGTCTGTGATAGTCTTTATCGATGACATATTGGTTTATTCCAAGACGCAGGAGGAGCATGAGGAGCATCTGAGGGAGGTTTTGGAGGCCCAGAGGAGGGAGAGCTTGTACGCCAAGTTCTCCAAGTGTGAGTTTTGGTTGCGCGAGGTGCAATTTCTCGGACACCTGGTCAACCAGCTTGGGATTCTGGTCGATCCGGCCAAGGTCGAGGTCGTGATGAGATGGGAGGTTCCGAAGTCTCCATCTGAGATTTGGAGTTTCCTAGGATTGGTGGGCTATTATCGGAGGTTCATTCAGGATTTCTCCAAGATAGTTGTACCCCTGACGCGGTTGATGAAGAAAGTCATGGTCTTTCGGTGGGGACCCGAGCATCAGGCAGCATTTGAGACACTGAGACAGAGATTGTGCGAGGCGCCAATCTTAGCCCTGCCATAGGGCGTGGAGGACTTTGTGGTTTATTGTGACGCATCTATTTCAGGGTTGCGCGCAGTATTGATGCAGAGAGGGCATGTCATTGCCTACGCTTCGAGGCAGCTCAAGCCTCACGATGCGAACTACCCGACGCATGATTTGGAGTTGGGGGCAGTGGTTTTCGCCCTCAAGATTTGGCGGCATTACCTCTACGGGGTTCGATGTACCATTTACACGGACCACAAGAGTTTGAGGTACCTTATGGATCAGCCGAATCTAAACATGAGGCAGCGTCGATGGTTGGACGTGGTGAAGGATTATGATTGTGAGATCCTTTACCACCCGGGAAAGGCCAACGTGGTGGCCGATGCGCTTAGCCGCAAGGCGGCGCCGATTAGGGGTATGTGCATGAGGATGACTGTGGTGACTCCCCTATTGGAGCAGATCCGGGAGGCTTAATAGGAGGCTATCAAGGAGGAACATTGGAAGAGCGAACGTGTGGTGGGTCAGGTTTCCTCCTTCGATTATGATAGTCAAGGACTATTGACACTGCACCTCAGGGTGTGGGTGCCGTATCACGGAGACGTGCATCAGATCTTGATGGAGGAGGCGCACAAGTCCCGATTCTCTATTCATCTCGGGGCGACGAAGATGTATAGGGATCTTCATCTAGATTATTGGTGGCCCTGCATGAAGCGGGATGTGGCATGGTACGTCGAGCGGTGCTTGACCTGCAGGAAGGTCAAGGCCGAACATCAGAGACCGCATGGGAAGATGCAGCCGTTGGACATCCCGTTGTGGAAATGGGAAGACATCACGATGGATTTTATCACAAAACTTCCTAGGACTGCACGCGGAGTAGATTTGATTTGGGTCATCGTGGATCGATTGACCAAGAGCGCCCATTTTATTCCGATCCAGGAGAGCATCTCGGCCGAGAAGTTGGCCGATATCTACATCAGGGAGATAGTATCGCGGCACGGGGTACCGGTGTCAGTGATATCAGACCGAGATGTGCGATTCACTTCCAGATTTTGGAAGAAGTTTCATGATGAGTTGGGCACTCGTTTGCATTTTAGTACCACCTTTCACCCACAGACGGATGGTCAGAGCGAGCAGACCATCCAGACTTTGGAGGATATGTTGCGGGCATGTGTGTTAGATTTTGGTGGTAGCTGGGATACCTATCTTCCCTTGGCTGAGTTCTCATACAACAACAGCTACCACGCGAGTATTGACCGACCCTCATTCGAGATGTTGTACGGGCGGAGGTGCAGAACCCCGATATGCTGGGGTGAAGTTGGCCAGAGAGTTATGGGGAGCACCGAGGTGGTGCTCGAGACGACCGAGAGGATCCAGCAGGTTCGGAGCAGGCTTCAGACTGCTCAGAGTCGGCAGAAAAGTTACGCCGACAAGCATCGATCCGACTTGGAGTTCCAAGTCGGGGATATGGTTCTCCTGAAGGTGTCGCCTTGGAAAGGCGTCATTCGATTCAGGAAGCGGGGCAAATTGGGCTCGAGATTTATCGGACCATTCAGGGTTGTAGCACGGGTGGGCAAAGTGGCGTATAGATTGGAGCTGCCAGTCGAGCTCAGCCATATCCACAACACTTTCCATGTCTCTCAGCTGCGGAAGTGTTTAGTGGATGATTCAGCAGTGGTGCCGTTGGAGGATATTCAGGTTGACGACAGCCTGAATTACATTGAGCGCCCAGTCGCGATCCTCGACAGGAAGTCGAAGGATTTGAGGAACAAAAGGGTGGAGTTAGTGAAGGTGCAATGGCAGCACCGAAAGGGTTCGAAGTGGACTTCGGAGCCGGTGGATGAAATGATGGAGCATTACCCCAAGCTGTTCCAGGATCGAGCAGCAGACTTCGAGGACGAAGTCTAAAATAAGTGGGGGAGATTTGTAGTGCCTAGTTCCTGGTATGTAAATCTTAATTGAGTATTTTTCCTTTTAAGCCTTGGACTCGGTGAGTCATAGGTCCGACTCGCCGAGTAGGGACGAGACCCGGTACACGTTTAAGTTGGCGACTCGGCGAGTCCATATCCTGGACTCGGCGAGTCACCGCTGTTGGATGAAACCCTAAGTTTCAGGGGTTTGCACCCTATTTAAGCAACACATCCACCCCAAGCCAGCCCCCATTCACCCCCCAAAGCTCCCAACCCTCGTTTAAGCTTGTTCTTTGAAGAGTTGAAGCAATTGTTGTGTGTTTTTGAAGGTTTTGAAGAAGAAGGGAAGTAGACCCAGAAGAAGGGAAGCCATCCAAGCACCATTGTGTTCTCTCAGCAGTTCCATTGAGGTATATCTCGTGTTTCCCCTGTTTCCATGCTTATTGCTTCATTTAAGACATTCTTGAGCCATTCCCCAAGCTTGTATGTGCATAATGTTCCAAAATAAGCCGATTGGTCTCTTGATCCAAGCATAGTTGAGCTCCAGGAGCTCAAATCCACTAACTTTATGAGCCCATATTGCACATAAACCTTAGATCTACTCTTTTGGTGCATTTCAAACCCTAAAAACCCCATAGATGGATATTTACACGTAAAGTTGGAAACTTTACGTGTTATTCATGCTCTAGGAGCCCAGATCTACAAATGACATGGATTGGATTCGAGCAAAATCGCATTTTTAGCTCTTGCATGGAACGGACTCGGCGAGTCGCTCATCTGACTCGGCGAGTCCAGTCGCGAGTCTCCGGGTTTGCCCCCTTTTTGTTATGTCGAGTCGTGAGGTGAGTCCAGGAGGGACTCGGTGAGTTGGACGCCCAAAGTCACCCATAATGGAACTCCGTGATTCGATGCCCTGACTCGGCGAGTTCAAGGCAATCTCCTTAGATTAAGATCAGACTCGACGAGTTGTTCATACAACTCGGCGAGTCGCAGCATAGGTGTTCATCGGATGAAGATGAACTCGCTGAGTTGTTCATACCACTCGGTGAGTAGGATAAAGGACTTGAACATCAGTTTGGATGGAGAACTCGTCGAGTCAACGCCTAACTCGATGAGTAGAAACAGAATCCGGGATAGTCGTTTGGACATGGACTCGACGAGTTGGATAGCCAACTCGGCGAGTCGGGTCAACTGGAAGTTGACTCTGACTTTGACTTAGGGCATGGTCGGGGGTAAAAGGGTCATTTCACCCAAAAGGCAGTAAATAGTGATTGATTGAGTATGTTGTGGGAATTACAGCCGGAGGATTTCCGGAGTAGCAGCAGCAGCAGACAGTCGGTTCCCACATACACCAGCAGATATTTCGAGGTGAGTTACCTTTCAGTAGTAACGGGTCTAAGGCACCAAGGCCGACCCGTATAGACGAGACGTTAGTATTAGAGTGTGGGTCGAGCCCGTATCTCTTAATTGAGTGATTACGATATATGCTAGTATGATAGAGCTGTCTATACTTGTTGTCTGTGTGATACTTGTATGATATGAGTTGGCGGAGGAGTGTGGGTAGGCCTGTATCTCCCAGATAGCAAAGTGTGGGAAGGGCCCGTATCTTCATGAGTGTGGGCATGGCTCGTATCTCCCAGAAAGCGACGTGGGCATGGATCGTATCTTCACGAGTGTGGGCAGGGCCCATATCTCATAGTTGAATGTTGTTTGTTATATGCTTGCATGGTATGGGGTATTATGGGGGAACTCACTAAGCTTCGTATTATGTGAGCATGTACTTTAGTTACTCAACTCTTTTAGCATTCTCTTCCTAGCATCTTCATGAAATCCCGCAAATTGATAATCATCAGTGGCAATAACTTCCAACTCATCACCCCTCATGTTATTCCCTTTATCTTTTGCATGATTGTTCAAGATTCCATGTTCATTTACATCAACAACATTATGGAATTCCATCATGTCTACATCTACATCAAATTGTCTGTTAGACTCATCCACATTGTATTCACTGTCATCAAAATCATCTCCATTATCTTGAGAACTATGGCCACTCTCAGAACAGAAAGCCTCTCCACTATCATCACTCACCATACCCTTTAGATAACAGTTCTGGTTGTTGTTCAAATGAATTTTGAACATTAAACTCAACATCATAATCAGCATAAAGTGAGTAATCCTCTATAAATGGTTCATAGTCATTAACTGTTGTAGTATTAGCTCCATCATTAGCTTGGCAACTTGGTTCCTATACATGGTAAGTTCCCAATGGTTCTTCAATTTCAACTGCACTAGTGATCACTTCTTCTTGAGTTTCAAGTTCATGATTCACCACTTCCTCTTGAATGACATGACTTTGTTAGCTAGCTTGTGACCTTATGAATGGCAGAATACTCTTTGAGTAATCATGTCCTTCATCAACAATCTAATACTTATGACTGCTCATAATCAGGGTTCATAGACTTGTTTAGATCAAGCTTTCTACTACATGATCTTGCTTCTCTCCTACAAGGTTTCTTTCTATTCATTTCAGGTGACACACTATCAGGCTCTAATTCTTCAATAACAACTTTAGAAGGAGACTTGTAATAAGTAGCTACCCTTGTGTGACCAGTTTCAATATACACGCTAATAAGTCTGTGTTTAGGGACATGTGATACCATTTTAAGTACATCTTGGTCATTCCTAAAGGCATTAATCCATAGTCCAAAGGGTATTCAGGGAAACATAAATTGTAGTAAAGGGTTTGCTCAGTTTTGTACCCTAGTTCTCGGACCATGTCGTCAAGCTCATAAACTGAAAATAAATCAGTGTCAACATCATCTGCATATGCTACAACACCATCAAACTATTTCCTTCCAGGTGCTTTGGTGAAGACACCACTGTAGTGTATCATCAACGTGAAATAGTTGTCATATCCTTCTGCAAACACAAAAAAAGAGTAAAATCAATGATTTCTCTACGTGAACACAATCGACCAAGAAAAAACAAGTTTTGTTGTAGTATTGTACCGTATCTTTTTCCTAAGTCCTCCACGGTTACAAATTTTTCTCGAAAACACCATATTGATAGCATCATTGCAATTCCTACAGCTTAAAACCCTAATTCCCAATTTCTGTTCTTGCTTCTACGATGGGAATGAACCCGATGAATACAGATGTAACTGATTATCTTCTTGGGAGAGGGACGGGTAGTGACGTGCAAGCAATAGGTAATCATTTCATATTAAAGAGAGAAGGTTATAACTGAAATGACAAAATTACCCCTGCAATATAAAATAAAAAAATGAGTTAATGGTAAAATGCTAACGGAGTGAGCCGTAAGGACCAAATGTTAAAAGTTTTGAAACCACAAGGACCGTTTGTGAGGTTTTTTGAACATAGGGACTACACTTTATATTTTTGAAAACCACATGGATCATTATTGAAGTTTTGTCTTACTTTTATTTTTGTAACATAAACTTTCAACTACAACGTAAACCCATTATCGAAGATCAAACTTATATGGTATGGATATTTTTCATTAATTTTGCGTAGATATGTTCTTATTTATGGATGAGTGGTATCGTAAAAACATATCTTTTATTGTTTGGGTTTATGTTGTTTTTCTTGGGTTCCGGTTTGAAGATGAATCTTCAAAAATCAAATTTATATGGTGTGATTATTTGGTTTTTCAACACGAAAACGTTTGAAGTCTACGGACCACATCTACTACCCTCTGCAACCACGGTTGCTGTAATGCCCGTGTTTCTAGGCTTGCCATTTTTAGCAATGTAATAGTCTAGGTTAACCTTGTAACTCAACTTGAAATAATAAGAATGTATTATTTGTGAATTATTTGAATTATGTGATTTATGTGTGTATTTTCTTAATTTTTATAATTTAATAAATTAAGAATAAAATAAGCGTCAAAATTTAAGTGTGAGATAAGCCCAAACATCTTTGCATAAAGTTGTAGTGGTCGAAACAAGGATTCCGGAGATATAAGGAATGCCAAAATCCGAGTTATAACGAAGAAGTTATGACCTGTCGAAGTTTCGCGATAGAACCGACACGACGCCGAGTGACGTAAAATATGAATTTAAGATAGAGCGATATTTAGCCTTAGCGATCTAAACGAAAGTCGTAGATTTCGTTAAACCGAGAGCATGCATAAAAGGAACGCCCAAATCTGACTTCGTATGAGGAAGTTATGATTTTATGAAGTTTCGACTTAGCAGTATACAGCCCGAATACTCGATTTGAGATCGAGCGGTTTTTAGCCGAAACAATCTAAATGAGAATCGAAGATCTTGTTGTTAGTAGCGAAACGATGAAAAGTTAGGCGAGAACGGACGTCAGACGAAGAAGTTATGAATTTATAACGAAGTTTTTCTGTCCCGGCCTTCTAAAAATAAATAATAAAAATAAAAGTCAAAATTAGCCGACGGAGTCTAAATGAAAGTTGTAGAGTATGGTCTGACCTTCGCGTGGATATAAAGAACGTCGAAAACGGAGCTCGTATGCGAAAGTTACGCAATTTAGAAGTTTGACAAGTCAATTACGCCCCGCGTAATTTGAGTACGCCCCGCGTACTCAGTCGGATGCAACTTGTCTGACCAATACTCGAGTGCCACCAGTCGACGCACGCAGTGACGTCAAAGTACGCCCCGCGTAACCCAAGTACGCCCCTCGTACTGAGTACGCCCCGCGTAATTTGAGTACGCCCCGCGTAATTTGAGTACGCCCCGCGTAATCCCAAACCCAGCAGCCTATAAATAGAACTCGAATTCAGCCATTTTCTCTTGTTCAAACTCTTCCCTCTCTCTAAGTTTTGCCTCGTTTTGCGTGCCGTTTATACCCCAAAGCCCCGGTAATATTCCCGAGCCCCGAAGTAAGATCCGAAGCCCCGAGGATCCCGAAGAGCGTTATTCCCGAGCCGAAACGCTGCCCGCGAGGAGCCCGGTTTTGTGAAGATCTTCCAGATCTACGGAGAAACACCTCTTCTGCAAGCCGTAGTGCTGCCCGATCATCTTTTGATCAAGTGAGTGTGTAGTTATTTTCTTTCCAACGCAATATTATGAAGTATATTATATAAAATACGTGCTGCGTGTATATTATTGTGTTGTTATATGTGTGAGTGTATATTCACTCTCTTCTATCTTTTAGATCTGATGTATTCTCTATGAAATACGTGTTATGTGTGTATGCCTCATCTGTTATGTGGAATATGTATTGATTAAAGCATGTTGTACAGGTTTTTAAACTATGTATAAAAATGTATATCTTTATCTACTAATGTGTTGGGTAGAACATGGGTAGATAATTGGTGTGTAATAAATAGATGAGAGGCCTAGGTGTTATTGGTGTTATTCTAGTCATTCAGCAGAGTATGGATTACGACCACGGACTATTCTAGACTGTCCTGTGGAAGACTAGTAGGCTCATTACCTATAGGTGTTGTGAACGACGTGTTCACCGGTGTACTCTATCCCCCACATGGTTGCCTTTAGGACACTTATTGTTGAGGAAGCCCCTCTGCAATAATGTCCGTCCCGATGAAAAATCCTGAAATAGGTTCCTTATAATAGACGTTATTTTTAGGAACGTAAGGTGAGGATAACGGGAATGGGTAATCGGGTTTATTGTTGATTGTTGAAATTAAATATAATTATTGTGGGTTGAAAACCCTATATGCTCACCAGGCTCCCAAGCCTGACCCACTCAGTTGATTTATTTTACAGGAAGTGGCGCAAGAGCTTAAGATGGGCGAACATCAAGTTGTTTTGTTTACAAGTCTGTATATGTATATATTTGTTGAATGACTTGTAATGCTATCGTTTATGCTTTATGATCTGTATCGGAACATGACATCCCGTCTTTTGATTATGAAATGAAATCATATTTCTTTATGAAATGTTTTGATAAATATCTATTTTATCATGTTTTGTTTTTGGGAACAAATTCCGCATCTCTTTTAAAATTAAAAGGATTTACTCTGAAAATTATTTTAAAAAGCATAAATGAAATCGGTCTTTTCTGGCCGAGATTTTGGGGATGTCACAGTTGGTATCAGAGCATTAGTTTAAGCGAACTAGGAATTTGTAGGATTTCTAAACTTAAACTTAGCATTCTAAGTGGAGATTGCGAGGTGTGTGTCTGTTGGATTTTAGACACAAGCACTAGTTTATTTTAGGAAAGTTGCCTAAAATGCTTTTATGTGCTAAATGTTATATGTTGCCATATATGATATTATTTGTTCGGATCTATGGTTTGTTGCCAACCGGATCTGAAGGTTTATGTGTTTAGGATTCTAAGCGTATGTATACGATATTAGAACTAGCATGTAATCGTTTGGAGTAATAAGGTGAAATTATTCGGTGTATAGATCAAAATGGTGAGAACAAGAAGCGGAGTTGGAAATGCTAATGAAAACAGGAATCAACCGCCTATAATCGAACAAGTACCTGTCGTAGCTGCTGCACCTGAGCCGATAACAATGGCTGGTGTACAAATGATGATTCAAATGATGTTGGATCGTCAGATGGAAGAAACAAGACGCCTGCTTAGGCAGAATCGTGAAGAACCGTCAATTCAAGCGGAAGAGCCCGAGGAGAATGGAGGGCAGTCTGAAGGAGAAAACTTTAGTGGGATCATTGGTCAAGACGAACAACCAGTGGTTAGACGCAATAACCAGTATGGAGGAAATGATGGTCGTGGGTGCAAGTATAAGGATTTCATGGCATCCAAACCACCATGCCTATCCGGAAGCCCGACGCCGGTGCAAGTTATGGACTGGGTCTCCGAAATGGAGACTATGTTTGAAAGTTGCGAATGCAGCAACAGGCAGAAGACCGCTCTTGCGATCCCTCTGCTAAAATCTGGCGTGTTGAGTTGGTGGAAGCTGTTAGCTGACTCTATGCCCAAGGAGAAGCAAGCAAAATGTCTTGGGAAGACTTTCTGGAACAACTAAAACTGCAATACTGCTCCGAGCAGGACCTTCTGGAAATCAGTAATGAGTTTCAGAATTTGAAGAAAGGGAAATTGAGCGTTACTGAATACGCTACAAGTTTCACGGAAAAGATGAAGTTTATCCCATATTTGGTGCCTACAGAACTCTCTAAGGTCAACAAGTTTGCCCTTGGACTACCAGCGGACTATGGT